AATCAATCTAGTCTACCCTGCAAAAATGCATGCTTATTTAAATACTCAGAATACAAGTTAGTGTTTTAGAAATTAAGGCAACAATGGTCTTTGGTACTAATTCTTCTTTTTTGTGTAAATCATTACATTGAAGGAAAATAACAGTTTTGCCTGTATTCTGTTAATGAAGTTATGAGAAGCTACCTGTCTTTTTGCATTTATAGTGGGAGTGCTAAGAATTCATTATGTGAATTGAAGACCTTGTTAAATCAGAAATAGTAATATGCAAGTTTGTGTGAGATGTTTCACACATACCTTCTCTTGACTAGAAGCCTAGTAGTTCCATTGAAAATCTGAGAAAAAAAGTCTCCTCTCTGGCTAACAAACAAAATAACACAAATAAGAGACTGCTCTTTAGTAGGAATACCTTTGATTTTGGCATCAGATCTTTACCATTCTGAAACATTATTATAGATAATTAATTTATAAAGTCACACTGATAACACAATAGTCAGCATTCACAGCTATTCTCAAGTCCACAGATAAATTGCTAGACAAGAAAGTTTCTCCATCTTCCAAAAGGGAAGGAAAAAAGATTTGGCTTATCCTGTAAATGCTTCAAAAACATTGAACTAAGTGAATTTTAAAATAAATCCTCCATGTAACTATCAGATGGCCATAATTTTTGAGATATTTAAAAATAATTCACATTAACTTAAAAAAAGGATGAGTTTTTCTGGACAAATTCTATTTAAAAAAAAGCTGATTAACACATAATTTAGTGCCTTCTAAGACACAGAAAAAATACCCATATCTGTGAAAATGAATTGGACTTGTTCTATGTTTGAAAAATAGCACCAGTGATCAAGATTCTTTCTTGATAATGATGCATTGTCCTTATCAAAATGCATATCTGCAATTTCAGAATGGCCAATATTTCAGTGGAATGTGTTCATACTACTATCTTTCCAGTTAAAAAAATGTGAGACACACCATTTCTAAGGTTGTACACTTCTAGAGTACTTAGTGGAAACAGCAGTGATGACAGCCCAACAAGGTGAGTGCTATCCCTAGTTTTGCCCAGACTAGGGCAGTTTTTCGGGAATCCGCAAACAAACAAACTGACAAAAGCATGAAGGAGCAACCTCTTCCTTGGTGATTTATTGGGCTGTTCATTTTCGTGCTTGGCACAAAGTTCCCACCTTCTGGATGTGTGCTAGGAGATGGCAACTGTGGTACTGTAATCCAGTTTTTCATCAGCACAGTTTTATATCAGCATAGCCTCATTTCTGACAATCTCAGCTCAAGCAAGAAACTCTTTTCATAATTATGTCCTTGACATTGTAAGGAATGTATTACCTTTGCATTTAGCATCTCACCTCACAATCATTCCAAATGAATTGGCTGAAACAAAGGCTTCCTGTGGATATACCAGGCACTGCCAGTTCCTTCTTTGTGCCTATTATATAATGTTCATTAACAAGCTGAAATAGTGCTCTTACAGAGAATTCCTGATCCTTTGATTTCTGAGACATGGATGTCTAGAAGGAAAAACACTTTGATTACCAGTTAAAGGGAAGTCCATCAGCTACCTTTTCCCAATCAGAGGTTCTGTCTTCTTGGCATCACATACCAATATTTTTCAAATTGTCCCAATGTTACAGTAAGACAAAGAACTGTCAGTTCTCAATTTCATACATTCAAAATACTGTAAATTCAGTGTTAATATCTAATCAGGAATAGTTAGTCCATGTCTTTGTACCCACTGTAATTTTTCTACAGACCCTGTGCATTCAGTTCCATATTCCTAGTGTTTAGCAGCAGAGAAGCATGACTTTTTTTTCCACCATGTCTTGTTGACTTCCTTTCATGCTGTGGATTCCATCACAGCTCAGAAATTAATCATCACAAATCTGGGAAAGTTCATAACATTGGGATTCAAACAACTGTAGTCTAGAGAGCTTTCCTGGAAGGCAGAATGGTTATACTCTGAAGAAATATCAACAAAGTATTATTAACTAGTCTGAAAATACTATGTCTAATTCTGGGATTAACTTCCTAACTTGCTTTCCAAACTAAAGTAACAATATATGTTTCCAAAACAAAATTACTTACGGATAACAATGAAAATTAAAATTAAAAAAATCTATTTGCTGAAACTCTGGGAGAACTTCCCAAAGGTATAAAAATCAATTTAGTATTTTAAATCTTCTCTGTTTCATGAAGCAATCTACCAGAATCGCAGAAGGAGTTGCATTTCAGTCTGAAACTTAATTATACATGATAAATCAATGTCCACATGAGCTTCTTGGGGTGTTTTTTGCTTTGTTTTTTTTACTCAAAGCTACAGAGTGTCATTGAAGACTGAATTTGGAGAAAAGTTGTTTTACTGGTCTCAAATTAGAGGATTATTTTCATGCTGGATGTGTTTCGACAGGATCAGGCAACAGAAAAACTGCCATTTGATTAATCACAGTGAACCACAACAGGAAAATCAAAGGTTGCAAGACATATTTTAGTCATGGTTTCAAATGGCCAGTACAGTGGCCCAAAAAGGCAAAAGTAATTCAACTGTTTAGAATAACCATCATTATTTATATTATTGGAATTATTTAGCTGATCAATATCCAGCAGAATACCCTGAGAATGAACAGACTTCCAGTAGAATGACAGAACCTGCTTTAGGAGCAGTTTGAGATACGTAAGGCAACTGCAGCTATAATTATTACTGAGCATCGTTCCAAACTCAGAAAATTTTTTCCCGTTTTAGTCTTACAAGAAGGCTGTAACAACTTCACTCCTCTCATAGCCAGAAATCTTCTGAACTCCATCTAAAGCTACTAGTATCTGATGTGCTGTGTGTCATGCAGATATTCAGTCATAATGTGACTTCAGGGTGAATTTCAGTTTGCTAAAGAAGATGAGCCATGCTCATTGGATCTCCTCTCATAAGATGAGGTCTTGATTCCCCATATCCTCCTTTTTGCTTTTTCCTCCATTCATTCTAGTGTGCTCTTTCTGAACATGCATGAGTGTAGATACAGGCAGTATTTTGCATGGAATTTCATGACTGCCTTGTGCAACAGCACTGGAGTGCGCCTGTTTCCCACTGAAGATGTTTTGCTGTGTGTATACCAGGATCATACCTGCTTTCATGGTCTTTCTACACCAAAGACAGTTCTCCTGTGATCAGCTGAATCATACTTTTTGCTTTCCTAGCATTTTTGCCTAATAAGTTCCCCATTTACAGCAGAATTACTGAACACAAGTAAATGACTTTGCATCTTGCATTGTGGGCTGTCCCGATATCTATTAATCCTCAATGTCATCCAGACCCAATTTGACTCATTACTGAGAATGCTACTTAATATTGTCTTATTAACAGATGTCTGGATTAGTTAGAGCAGCAGGAAGTCCTTAATATTAACAGAAAAATTAACCCATCACCTCTGTGCAAATAATTCTGTTAGTCACCTTGTTGTATTCTATCTTTCATACTCTTTCATTAGCCTCGATTTTATAATTCTGCTTGTAGTTTTCTTAACGTGAATAAACATCACACACTTTACTTAAGTTATATAATAAAAAAGCCACAAACTGACAGTAGATAGAGGCATAATAATGCATGTGGAGAGTCACTCCAGGAAACATGATGTTTGCTTGTAAAGTGGCCCAGGAGGTACTTAAAATATTTTGCTGTTGCCTATAAGAACTAGGTGTCTTTTCTTTCTTTCTTAAAGAAAGTTCACTTAATTTTTTTAAGCAATTCATATGCTTAAAATAATCAAAGATCATTTCATTTGTGAATATTTCTAGAGGGTCTAACCAGGTTTAATGTTCTAGACTCACAGGCTTACCTTTGCTGCTGAGGGTTGAACTCCCACTAAAATGGCAACTTGAGGTGGACAAATTAACCCTTGTTACCTGGCGCCATGTAACTTTTCCCAACCCAGCTATTCATGGTTTAGGGTACTCATTTTGTCTATTTCTTTTTCAGTGAAATCTCAAAATTTTATTCAGAATGCATATAGCTTTTCTTGAGAAAAGCTAGTTTAAAAGGAAAAAGTCTTTCTGTTGAAAAAACAATGCTAATAGAAAATATTCAACTGCTTATATAGCCTGAGTCCTTTTGCTTGTCCCCATTCTCAACTGGTCAAGAGGTGAATGCTAAAACCTTTTCCAGTTATGTTAGTGCCAGCCTGGTGTCAGATTGCCTTTCTCTAAATCCAGAGGGCTCCCATGTAATTACACCAAAAGTACTGAAAATGAAGATGTCTCTTCTTTGGTTCAGCACTAATTTAGCACTCTCTGGAGCAATGTCCCCAGTTTGGAGTCGGAAAATCAAGGAATATACTGCAAAATTGGAGAGAATTCAGAAATAAACTGTGAGACCAACTAGAAGTGGAAAACAAGTGTAACACTGACTTGTAACAAAATGTATGTGTTTAATCAAAGAGAAGGTTAAAGAGCTATATAGCTGCAACCTCAAAGTGGGTCCAATATGGCAAGAAAAATATAGAGGTGATTTTAAAACAGCAAGCAAAGCTATTGGAAGACTCAGTGATGCAAAACTGACACCATGCAAAACCTAGACTGCAAGTAAGACACAGTCATGATTCTGAACATGTTAGGAGAAATGTGGTAGCTTCATTATGCTTTCAAACCAAGATTTGATCTTTAAAAGACAAAAACCTCATGGTCTGTTTAAATATAACTGTTGTATTTAAAGCAGAACATAATTCTAGAAAATCTTGGTTTAGGCAGTGGAACTGACTACCCTGGTCCCATTTTTCTTGAAATCTATAATTTTCTGAATGTCATTTTCTCTAACAGAATGCTGTACAGTCATAATGCAGTTATTTTGTTCTGATTTTTTTTCTTCTGTCTTCTGTTGTGTTTTGTTTGCCTTGCTGGCTTTGCATGTTTTTGTTTCTTTTTCATTTTGTTTTTGTGTATGTGTATATGTGTTTGTTGGTGGTTTTTTTGTTTGTTTCTTTCTTTCTTTCTTTCTTTTACTCCAGGAATTGGTCAAGGGGTTCCAGTGGTGGCGCTTATTGTGGAAGGAGGTCCCAACGTTATCTCTATTGTTCTGGAGTACCTTCGAGACACTCCTCCTGTTCCTGTTGTGATATGTGATGGCAGTGGCCGGGCATCTGACATCCTTGCCTTTGGTCACAAATACTCTGAAGAAGGAGGGTAAGTAATTTCCAGTATGAGTTCTTTCTCTGTCCACAGGTTCAACTTGGTGGTAAGGTAAAGCCCAGGAAATTATTAGCAATATAGTGCAAAAGCTATACCTACTTCATATGGCTGTTTCCATCATTGCTATGGCAGTGAAATACTGAAGACCTTCAAAACAGAACAAAAGAAAACATGGACTTAAAGCAACACTCAGATGTAGAAACTGTATTGTATGGTTACTTGCCATGACATGTCACACACTGACAAATGCAATGCATATCTTGCAATAGCAGGTCAAAGGGCACAGGGAATTGCTTTCACCAGCTTAGAGACGCTATATCATTATAATACAGTACACTGCTTTCTTCAGATTTCATTGAAGCCTAGGTGTTCATATAAGCTAGTTGGTATTTGCCTTGCCTATTGAGCATGATTCTGCACACCTGTCTGTATTCACACATGACTGCATGTGCACTAGTCTATATTTGCCCTGTCCCATCTTTCTTTGCAGATTCCAGGTGAGGCAAAGATTTTTATTATGAAAGATTCAACCATCCTTTTTTTTTAATTAGGGTGTAAGCATGCTCTGCAAGTTCCAAAGCTCATATTATTACTGAATGCCCAAATCCTCGATATTCTTTGTTCTTCCCCTCTACCTGCCTGCCC